ATTCCGCAAAATTATCACTAAAATATATTCTTAATATTTTATATATTCTATATTTCATCGTTATTAAAAAATAACGGTTCAATTCAAAAAAATATATATATTTATATCTTAATTTCATAAATTAAAAAATTACAGATTTATATTCTATATTGTTCGAAATATTTTTATTTTAAATAATATATTAATACATTTTGTTAAATAATTGCCTAATATTTTTAAATACATTTTATATATACATTAATATATTAAAAATAAAAATTACATATTATATATATAGACATTTTAAAAAATAATATATATATTTCATAAATATATTAAACATTCAATAATTTCAATTGTTATTTACAATAACAAAAAACAATTTCTTTTTTAAACAATATTTTTCGAATTTTACATAAACATATATAATCAAATATACAAATAAATGTATATAAATCATTTTCAAAAATAATCGACCCTATAAATAGAAAATTATAGATTTTTTGAAATATCAATTCAAAATCCTTAATATATATTTTATACGAAATACCTTACAGTTAACAATTATACAATACAAATATTAGACACAAACACATATCGAAAACCATTAATCACGAAATAAATACATATAATATAAATATAAATATTCTATATTTGTAAAAATATACGACCAACATTCATATTCTATAATATAAATATATTGCTTTTTGTAAAACAAACGTTTTTAAGACATACTTACTTATATTATATATAGAATATAAATATTAACAACTATACATATTTAAACTAAAGAATATCCATTACTAAAAAACAACGACGCAAATATCGAAAAGAAATAAAATCAATTTATTGTATATATAAATTCGACTCCGTGTTTAAAGACGATAAACCCGTTTTAGCGATCATTACCCGCAACTTCGGCTCACAACACGTTACGCCCTTCAATCCGCCGTCTTCACAGGCTAGTAGGCGAAGGCACATCGCTAGACGGCGATTTGTTCGTGGGGTACGCGACCGCCAAGATATGCAACCTCTTGAAAAAGGAATCACACAAAACCTTCAAGGAGTACGTGGCTTAAAGAAAGGTCGATAGATATCTCCACGGCCCCTAAGAAGGCCAGCCATTAGTAGGAGGCGACCGGCCGTTAAGCGTAAAAGAGATCCAAACGACGAAGATCGCGAAAGAGAAGGCGTGCGGCCAGCCATTAGTAGGAGGCGACCGGCCGTTAAGCGTAAAAGAGATCCAAACGACGAAGATCGCGAAAGAGAAGGCGTGCGTCATCAACCAACAGGAGCAGAGGCAAGGGTTGCAAGCTTTGACGAAGGAAGCGGTTGAGGCCCATAGTCTTGGTCCCAGGGCTAAGACTCCTGGGAAAGGAAAAATATTGGGGAATCATCAACCTAGCCTTTGAGGTGGAATCAATTCAAATCCAAAGAAGTGCTTTTCAGATCTTGTGCCCAATCGCGGAACAAAAAACGAAGATTTTCTTGATATAGCTGCCAGGCCAAAGCCGGCCCGCTATTCGTCTTCACCTCTATCACCCAGATCGTGCAAGGACATCGGAGGCAAACGATCTAGTACACGTGAAGAAATTGCAACGGATAAATGCTACCGATCCAGGATGGGTCGATAATATGCAAGCAACCAATAGAATAGAAGAACTACAACGACTAGTCGAGCGATCGGATGCCGAAGCAAAAGGGGGCGAAAGAAGCCCCTGCAAGAGCGATCGAAGTAATTCCCGCCGCAAGAGCAGCCGATAAAGAGAAAGACTCCAACAATAACAACGATTCCAAGAAGAAAAAGAAAGCCTTCAAAATGATAAACAAAAGGATTATGGTGCTCTATTCGGAAAACAAGCTTAGACAAACAGGCGAAGACAAGGAAGGAGGTATCAAAATTAGCGAGACGGGTTTTGAAGAAGACACCGAAAAGATCAAATTCCACGGATTCAGGGGGATCCTCAGGGGAGCTAATAGAAAACGATCTAAAAGAGTTATTTCAAAAGAGCACCCGAACACAATTAGCGGTGAAAATAAATCCAGGTGCTTTAGCCTACCACGTAATACGTCAAATACGCAAGTAAATACGCAAATAGATGCTACAGACGATAAGCAAAAAGAGGAAAAGAATGCTCCCATTCAACCGGTGGATAAGATTACTACAATTCTTTCGCCAAGTGGTCAGCCAGAAGATGAGCCCCGAAATGGGGCGAAAAGCATTAAATGTCTTAGCGGCACTAGACGCGTTATAATGGGATGTCAATCCGCCCCAATAACTAATATACTAATCCAAAAGTCAAAGACGTTAAAGAATATCAATGCCAGCGCAACGTAACAAGTGGCGCAACGATTCGAAATAACGCCCCAAAATTTAAAATCCCTTACAATCATAGCCGATTCCTAAGCAACAACTCGAAAAAAAACGAGAAGAATTCAAAAACAAATAATTCCAGAGAAACAATTAAAATAATATAACTAGAAAAAAACAAAAACCGAAACAAAAAGCAAAGCCAATACAAAAAAGAAAACAATATCGAAAAATAAGGATAATAAAAACAAAGGAAGAGCCAACCGAAGCAAACCGACAAATAAGGAGCGAAGTGCTATTAAATACAAAGAAGATCATAAAATATTTAAAAAATTCGACGAAAAATAACTAATGAATAAATTAATACCACGCAAAACATAATATCACCGAATTTTGTCCGAGAAAAAAATTATAAACCTTAATAATACGACCATACAAACCCTACAACGAAAAATACCGACCAAAATTAAGAAAAATTACACCATTATCCAATATATATAAATATTTATCAAAATAAAATTACCAAACGTACAACACTTTATAAAATCAACAATCACAATAATTAATATTCCAAAAAACAAAACCGTAAAGAAACACAAAATATATATAAATATAATCCCGACCACGTATCCATACTAACTCTCTCTCGCTTTCACTCATTTATATCCACTCACAATAACTAACATTCATTCTCTCTCATTCACTTCCTCACACTCACTCCCTCAGACCTCTCCCACTTCCCCAACTTTCACACTCACGAACCTTCTCAATCAATTCCGCTCACCAAGACTAACACTCATTCGCGCGCGCACCCTCTCACACTCACCACGCCATAATTAAGAAATGAAGGAACACCATTCTTGGCTTCCTCATCTAGGAGATAAATGCCTTAGTATCACCAATTCCAAATTCGTCAGAATTATCAACCTACATTTCATATCTATACTAAGAGTTAAACCCACGACAACTTCTAAATAATATGTGCCAATACTAATAAATAAAATTCATCATTCCCATATAAAAGCACATAATTGCTCAAAAATTAAGAAAATGCATTAATTAACCAAAATATATGTCCTTAAATTATAATCCATTCTCAAATTTTACCAATGAACCAAATTTATTTGTATGCATTATAAAACATAGAATAAAAGAAGATTATCGCTATCATTTTTAAAAAAGAAATCCAACGAAATCATTAGAAACATATCCCATATATATTATATAATCCAAAAAAATAAAATAAAACCAAAATACGTTGCGTCGTGGAAATTTAATAAACGCAAATATATTTAAATCCGCCGACCTACCAACGTATCTTAAAAATATACATATATACATTGTATTTATTAATACAAAAATTATTCATTGTTTAAATACTTCCTCTATACGGATTTTTAATTTCATTAATTTAACGTCCCCTTTATTCCAATCACCATTTATACCAAACCAAACTTTACACCCCCACCATTCATACCACACCGCCCTATTACCAACCACCGTTTACACCAACACGCGATTTACATCGACCACCATATATACCCCACCGCCGTCTACACCAACCACCCTTTACACCAAATCATAATTTTCACCAACCACCACTTACACCATCCCGCCATAAAAAACCACCCACTATTTACACCACATCGCCATTTACACCCAACTACGGTTTGCACCAAGCAAAAATCAATTTTTGCCTTGCTTTAAATTTTTGCAATTTCTTTACTTTATATCTTCCCCTACCTTCAATCTAATTTTCCTTTTCATATTTTGTTCACGACATATTGCTCCTCTATATACATATGACAACATTCAAAGGTAGAAATCCACGAGTGTTGTGTAAAGCAGTGGGCTTGAAGCCCTTTGCGTCAAGCTCCTCTATGCCAAGGCCTTGGGGCTATTCATTCGCCACCAGTGGGCTCCACGACCCACGACAACGGCGATTAACTTTCGAAAAATCATATTATCCTCGAAATTTCGAAAAATCGTATTACTCACTAATATCAAAATAACAATCATAAAATTTTCGAAAAACGATTTCTTAATTTCAAAAATCTTCAACATTTCCGGAAAACAAAAAATCGTCCGACATTTTCGGAAACATTAAACATTTCGACTTCATCATCTTCGCTCAATATTCATTTATATTTATCGTATCGAATTTCCAAAAATATATATTCAATAGACCGAAAGATGCCAATTTTATATAATTAACAACCACAACAAACGACTCAAAAATTCATCACTTAACAACAAGAAATATAAAACATAAGATCAAAAAATAAGCTTAACAATACATTTTTGTTATAATACAATATGCAATATACCAAATTAATTTCTAGTAGTTGTAACCTAAAGAAATATCATTAAAAGTTCGAATAGAATAATCTTAGAACATAAAAACATAACATCTAAAATAACAAGCGCGCTAGTAATGTAATTTTTGTCTTTTAGACTCAGGAATCTCCAACATTTCCGGAAAATTGAGCGGTTCGTCCGAAATTCTTGGAACAATTGTGACTTTCGGCCTCATCATCTTTGGTCGGCGGTCGGTCATTCACGTTTGTAGCATCATCGGGTTTCCGGCAGGACGTGCGCAATGCGCCGAAGGGTTACCGTTATATGTTTTAGCATATATATTACTTAATGCTATATATGATAGTGAACCTATAATATGGATTAGTGTATTTATATATAGCATTACTTTTTGGTTGGATGTCCCCCCTCGCATTCCCAAAGAATGCGTGTCCAACCGTAGGGTAAAGCCTTCACATGTTGAACTTACACAATTATTGAACATCAATACATCAATGTGAACCAGCAGGAAGGCCTGAACATCTCTTGCCATTGAGCATCGCGTGTCCTGGCTTCAGCCTTCAATTTGGCAACCTCCTGAAACGATAGACGTTAAATGAGCTGAAACTGAAATGGAATGCGAATCGCAGGGAGCTGTCCTCCTCTAACTCCAAGCGATGATCCTCTCCTAGCGCACAACATGCCGGTGTTTTCACCTTTCACCATGGCCTCCAAAATGCAAAACATAAAGAGTTTGTTGTCCTTTACGAAGCTGCTGAGTCAACTTCCTCAGTGTCAGAATGAACACAATGACAAGCAGCGCGCATCTTAGCGGCAAGGAAAGGCGAACACTTACTGCGGCAAAAACTCTGCTCCCTCTCTTGGCAGTATCGAGCCGATAACGCTTCAGCTCGGTGTGATTCAGCTCTTTCCTCCACTCATGATCCATAGCTCTTTCAAAATGAAGAGGTTGACTCGTGGCTATGGGGGAGCATTGCGAACACTGTTGGAAGAAAATGAAGCAACAACTGAAAGGCCTCCAGTTCTTGTCCGGCCTGTCTCCAAACCTCAAGTGAATGACCAGGAGCGCTTTAAAATGAAAAGGTCATGAGTGAAAGAAAACACCTCGTTGCAAAGGCTTTCCCACTTGGCAGCCTGATTCGTGGAGCGCTCAACTGAAAATGGGGCGTTGCAAATTCAAACAACCTGAGAAGGGAGGGGACGAAAGCCAGCCTCTGTAAGAAAACATCAACATGGCAATGGGTGGTGAAGTCGTGAGCGCACTGGAACCGTGAAATAAACGGCAAAGGTGCAAAGTCGTAGTAAAGGCGGGGGAGTGGGGCGCCCCTGGTAAGAGTGGACCGAGGAAAGGTTACTGCTGAGATCACGCGGGGGGAGAGATTGTCGTTGCTATCGGGGGATGTCGACATAGCAGTGACGCTACTGCTGTTGGAAACAGAAAACAGAATACATGGGTTAGGGGGGTGTCCTTTTTTCGCTCGGTGCAAGGGCGTTTAGAAGTTGAAAAAGGGCCCGGGCACCCCTAAGGAACTCAGGGGCGCTTCCTCGCTGTTTGTTATACAATGGACTCAAAGACTTGGCGTGCAAGATCAAGTGATTGGCCAACATCGGGCAAAGAGTATCTTTATGGGGTGAAGTTGACATCGCAGCCACATCGATAGGGGATAGAAATAGAAAGTAGAATGCATAGGTTTGGGGGGTGCCCTTTTTGTACTGGTTCAGGAGCGTTTTTTGAGGTGAAAAAGGGCACCCCTAAGGAAGTGAGCGGCGCTTGCCTGCTGCGTGTTGCCAAACAGTGAGCAAACACGACTGTGGGGGGCCCATGGGCGAGGCTATCGGCAGGCTTGTATTTGTATATATATATATATCTATATGTATCCTAAGTGAACACAGAAATGTCTATAGAGGTAAAGAAGGAAGTGCACAAGTAGAAAAAGAAGCTCTGAGGTGGGTGGAGTCTGCGGGAGTTCTTTTGCGTACCGCAAGAGCCGGTCACATTGTCTGTGAGAAAAGCTTTGGCCGACTTTGGCCGATTCCACCTGGTGCATCGCAAGCGCTGAGGCGGACATGCGCAACGAAAACTCCCACCCTGGTAGAAAACATTCCTCCTCCGCTGCGCCTGTCCCATCCACATGAACTCCCACCCCATATGGGGTGCCCTTTTTGAATCTTTTTGAGTCCGACAACTAGGCCTCTTCACCGCTAAAAAGGGCACCCAAGCTTGCCCGCTGCGATTACATGAGCTCGCGCCCTAAATTAAATGGGGTGCCCTATTGCACATGGTTGCCAGGCGTCGCGCCCCCAAGAACCCCAAGATTTCTTGCAAGCCCTCTTTTCCTACCATGTCCTCCTCCGCTGTGCCTGTGTTCCACCTTCCCCACAGCATTCTGGTCTCACAGATCACACAGTGTCTGAAGAGAGACACACCTCCCTTTCACGGCTGGTCGAACACTTATTCAATGGCCACCACAACCGCGCATCTCCCTTTTCTGGAGGAGTTCCAACCACTTCTCGCGTCCCGTTGTCCCCCCTTACCTATCGTCGACATGAGCTCCCACCCCCAGTAGAAGACGGTTTACATTGCCTCCTGAGGCCCTCATGATGCTAATGATGCACTATTCGCCGTCGATTGAATCACTTGCATCACAACCCCGCAAAAACAATCAATTTTTCAATCCCAAGCGGGCCTCCATTTTTTTGCTTTCCCCCACCAGGCTCTGGGTAAGCCCTCCGAAATTGGCCCGTGTGCGACCGCCCCCCCTTACTCACTTCGTTCGCCCAACTCAACTTCAGCCTAGCCTATTGGCTGGCTTTCGTGACAGTGTCCAGCTGACATCCTTTGCATTCCTTTGCATCCAGCTGATAGCAACCTTGCCTCCGTCTCTTCTGAAACCAGGTCTCGCCGAAGCCTGTCTAGCTCCAGTGCCTTCGTCAGGGCCGCTTCAGACAGGGTGTGTTTCGCCCAGCGTCTTGCGGGATGGACAATGCACCTCTTCTGAGAATCGCTTTTGACATGCATCCTTCGCAATGCTTTCACCTCATGACTCATATACCCAAAACCAAACCCTTTGCTCTAAAAAAGCAAGGCTTGTTTCTTTGCTCCGGTGGGTTCTTCTTTTCATTTATCTCTTTCTCTTTCACCCCTTGTTTGTCTTGTTTGTGGCCTTTCTAAACCTGCCTACCTGATAGCGTCGTCTGGTCTCGGTTTGCACGTCGATGTGGAATCGAGGATGCAACTCCTTCTCGCCCTAGCGGCTGCGACTTCTGCCTCCTCGAGGCGATGCTCAAGCCTAACACACAGCACGTCTTCTGTGCTTCTAGAGCGCACAAGTTCTGAATAAATTATACGTATGGGCAAGGGCGATTGGCTGCTGTATCACGACGAGATATGAGGAGGCAAGGGGCCGGATCTGGGGCGGCAGTGGACCCACCAAGGCCACAATGTGTCTTGCTTGATTGACTTGTCAAAGAACATGCAGCAGTGCTCAAGCATCCGCCCCATCTGTGAAGCCGACAACTCTCCCAGCACTTCCACTCTATGTCTATCCTGCCAAATGGTCAAAGGGACAAAAACCTCAAACACTCAAAGAAAGACTCAAAGGACCAAACCCAATTTGATCAATTACCAAAGCCATGTGACCTCCTCGGCAATGAGCTTCCAAGATTTCTCTTCACCCTGACCTTGGAGCCCCGTTTCACAAGTGATTGTGGAGTTGTGGACTGCATACTCTCCTTCTTCCTACAAAAGCCTCCCACGATGCAGCTCCTTCTCCAACCTCTTCTGTGCTTCCATTTCTGCCACCTGCGCTCACTGCTTTTTGGTTCTAAGTTGAGGGAATTCAACCTGATGCTGCCTGGCATTCTGTGGAGTGCTGTCTGGCTTCCTTCAACTCTTTTTCGAAGTTGCTTGCTTCGCCTGGAAGTCAATCCAAAAGTCCCTAAGAACGCCGATGTGCACAAGTTTTACACAGGCCAGGTGCACAGTGGAGCCTCTCACAAAACACCTGCAACAGACTCACATCAACATGTCGGACAAATGCAACGATACATGCTAAGCTTGAAGCATGAAAAGAATATGCTGAATATGCTGGTCATGATACACTGCCGGGCCACTGCCACAGATTTACACAATATAATACAATATATACTCCCCAACATTCCAAGCATGTAGCCACAGAGCCGCCAAGGCAGTCGACCCTCATGTTTGCATTCTCCGACTTTGTAAACAAAACATATCCTGCTTCTCAGCTCCTTTCTTGCCAGTTTAAGGAACAAACAAAGCATCGTCGACCCACATCCTTACGATCATCTAAGAGCTTGTGTAGTGCAAAGCACACTCCCTCAGAATAGCAATGCAAGATAATTCAGCACAAAAACAGAACGTGCCCTCCTTGGAAGATGTGGAGAACGAGTACAAGGGTCGTACGGCTTGTTCTGTTGATATCTGCTGCGATACTAGATGCTGGATGATTTTGGGCAGGATCACGCTCGCATTGCATGTTAAATGCATTGGTTTGGCGTTGGCATTGTTGACATAATCGCAGTCATTGGCCTCGACAGCTTAGCTTGTTTCACACGCCACAATCACCCGTTGCAGCCTGTGCCGAGCGAAGCTCTTCTGTCCTTTGGGCCAACTGTCGGCCAGCCTCAAAATTCTGCTTCTGCTTCATCAAGAGGCTATCTACTATCAACTGAAGATTGGAAAAAGGGATAAAAAGGGACTCTCTGAGATGGGCCAAGCCCCGTGGCTCAGCATCTGCAAACAAACTATAGCCTATAGCTCGACTCATCTCATTCCTAATTTCGTTCAACATTGTTTGGCTAGAGTGATGTCAAGGTTGGCCAAGAAGAGCAAAGGCTCGTTATGCAGTGGTTGCTTTCTTTGCAAACCTGAGCTCCAAGCACGAAGCACCCGCCATCCAAGGCTGTGCGCCCCTTCAAAACAACAATTTTCAACATGCACAAAACCAAAGCACCAAGACTTGGCTCCTCAAGTGTCCCAGCTGGCTCAAAATGTTCGATTCTCTTGTCTAGTCTAACGGGAATAAGATGGAATGGATGGAATAAGCACAGGCATCACACTTCAGACCTTCACCACGTGCTTCTTTCTCTGCACCACACATGTCTTGCAAAGAGGCCTCCAGACTCTCTTTCGGGCTTCTCTGGAATAATCAACAACCCACACTGTTCTGCTCTACTGTTCTGACTTGGTTTGGACTTCGAACATTTGTGGAAATTACAGTAATTATTTGGCACAAGATAACAACATGAATACTGTACTGTACTCTTCTGCTGCTTTTGTCTTGGATTCTGTCTTGGCAACTGTATGAATTCGCGGCCTCCGGGCGACAGCCCTGCCTGCAACTCTGCATTAAGCCTCATCTCTCGAAGCCGCCCTTCCTGCGGCTTTCCGCCAACCGTTCGACAAGAATGCATTGTGACAGCAAAAACATCATCCTCCAACTCCATTTCGGCCAACTTCAGAGCTTCTCGTTGTTCAGCAAACCTCAGCTGACTCCACACCAACTTGTCGCTCAAGTCCCAGGTTCGCACACTTTGCAAAACTCAGGTCCTAGAGGGTTTGTACGGAACGTCCTCCATTGTGCAAATTGAAATTGCAACGAACATCTGGACAGCTTCTGACGTTAGGCGAGAAGCAAACAGACTTCGATGTCTGTGGGAGGCTGGTGGCATCCGCACACCAGTTGTTTGGGGATGAGTGAAAGCCATTTTGACCTATGGCCTCCACAATCTCCACTTTGGAACTGGACAAATGAGACATAATGAGAACATGTTAAACCTCAAAAGGGCCCTGTGTGGAGGATGTCACATTTATCAATGGGTGTGCCAGGTAAGTCCTGTGGATCTCCCGTCCAGATTTAGTCATATAGCCTCTTGTTACTAGTAGCTACTTGCTCCTAGTAGTACAGCCAGGAGCCCCTAGTAGCGTCCTTGCTCCTAGTAGCGAAGGGCCACGAGTGGACAAGGGCGGAAGCTTCATTGAAGAACCCTTCGCCCTTTCTGTCGATGACTACATTCGCTGCACTCAAGCTACAAAAGCCCGCATTCCCGGGCTCCTTAGCGTCGGTTCTGCTTTTGACTTGATTCTACACTGCTACTACTGTAGCACTTTGTAGCACCGCTATACCAGCCTCTCCCGCTCTTTGGTGCCCCGACACTTCGGTGTGCTTGGAGTCTTTCAAGTCCTGAAGTTCTTCAGTCTGGGCATGTCTCAGATGATTCAGGACAGCTCCTTCTGGTGAAGCGGTGCAAGCCCTACCAGTTTTGTTCACATTCTTGGAGCCGGTTTACAGTAATCAGGAACTGGCCTGGGTCCTGTCGATCCCAGCTGGCATTGTAGTAGGCCACAATATCCTCTTGTTGGTGTAAGCACGATCAGTTGCATGTGGTTTCAAATCTTTGCATACACAGCTGGCAATCTTAGGCCCAGTCCAAATCGTCCAAACTTGCCTCGCATGGACCACCCACATCTGCTACAGCTGCTGCGGCTTTCAGAACCAAACAATCAGCTGCGAGGCTACTACAGCTGTTGAGTGCAGCCTTGGGGATGTCTGATGGCGGATACAGCCTCAAAGAGTCCAAGCAATCAGTGTGATCAAAGTGTGCAAAATGATCATAATTGATGCAAATTGAAGTTACTTCAAGCTTCTGACAAGTTGAAAACGCGGATGCAGGCCTCCGGCCCTGCAGAAGAAATCACATTTCAAGCTTTATGCATTTCTGACATGTCATAGTTCTCTCCTGGAACAGAAGCAAGTTCACCGCCGAGCCTGACGTTGACTCAATGCGAGTCTTCAAGTTCTCTGCTCTTCAAAACTCTAGGACCCTGGGAGCTGCGCAACTGCTGATGCGAGTGCACATCCTTCATCCATGAGCCATCAAACAGGAAAGGCCTAGCAAACTGCGGCATGCTCTTCGAGTTTGCCATGACATCTAGAAAAGCAAGCTTCAGAAGACTGAGCACGATGGAGAACACCTTGTGAAAGTGAGTGGATGCACGTGACATGTGCTGCCAAGCCTGCTTTTATGTTGCCCGTGGTGAATGCCAGCTGCCTGCGGCTTGTTCATTCAAAATCCAAGTATTGACTCCTTGTGCAATGTCCTGCACGTCCTTCATGATGTGATAGAATCTAGATTGCATTGCCTCCAAGTGTGGCAAGCTATTGAGACAATCTCAGGCATTTTGTGCACCAAAGCCAAGCAACACAAACCAACCTCACAAACAATTGCTTTTGCCTCAAGACCATCTTGGACAAACATTGCCTCCATATCAAAGGATGGCTTGAGTAGGACAAAAGGGACAAGTCAATGGAATGCCAACACAGTTTCTTTCTCAGCACAGTTAGAATCCCCTGTCCACCACCTGATCATGCCAGTCTCCACCCCGATATTGTGCATGCGCAACTTGTCGCGATTTCTGGTCTGGCCTCGACATGAGATCGGACGCCCTCAGCAAGCCACCATTGCACACCTCTACTAACTCCAACATACTCTAGCAGCACTCAAACACCTGTTCCGTACAGGGAACAGCTTTCAACCTAGTAAGCGACAAGGTAGCAAGTGCAAAATCTAAAGGAACTCTTGCACAAGGAGCCCGCAAGTCTCTCGTGATGTCCCGCTTTGGGTCCAAAGCTGTCCTGCAGGTGTGCTGAACAAATTGCAAACTCAGCTCCGCCAGCACTGCAACGTGCAAAGCTGCGTGGTCGCGAAACTTTTCATGCAACAGCAATCCTTCCAGATGCTTCCAGAAAGAGATCAGCAACCTCAACTGGAGTGCGGGGTCAATGATTCCAAAGTTGAATGTGGGAGTAGCTGTGCCTTCTCATGGAGTAACTGCACGACTCCTAAAGACACGGACAGTTGCAAAATGTCAGAGAAACATTTTTTGTTTCACTCAATTTCTTATCTAACACCTTGGGAAGCTTGTTTTGCAGCGTAGTGAAGTGGTGAAAGGCCTGACCCCAGCACAGAATATGATGCGCTGAACATACACATGACATGGTCCATGTCAAACCAACATAACAATCATGGTTCGGCTCAGCCGCCAACCGAATTCATCGCACAGGTCTGGTTCCTGGCACCACTGAAAGGCTTGTTGGTTCTTCCAACTGAAGCTCCAGTTGGACAAATAGATATCTAGTATAGAAGTGCAATGAGATAGAAGCTGCAACATGAGGAAGCCCAATTTTACTTTATGTTTTCTTCTTGTTGACCTCTTCTTTTTCCCCAAATAGCAAAGCTATGGGGTTCTTACTTCAAATAACAGTGAATTGCCCGCGCGCGCTTTCAAGACAGGTTGCTGGTGCTGGGTGCCGGCGCTGGTGCTGGTGCTGGTGCCGGGTGCCGGTGCTGGCGCTGTGAGCTGGCTGTGCACGGTGGACACAGGTTGCCGGCACCGGTGCTGGTGCTGGGCGCCGCGTGCCGGCGCTGGGAGCTGGCTGTGCACGTGGTGGAGACAGGTTGCTGGTGCTGGTGCCGGGCGCCGGCGCGCCCGTGCTGGGCGCTGGTGCTGGGCGCCGTGAGCTGGTGCCGGTGCTCGGTGCTGGTGCCCGCTTCTGACAGTGAAGTGATAACAACCGCCGCTTCTGACGTGAAGGGTAACAAACCGCCGCTTGCAGCAGTGAAGGGCGACCAAGCTCCGCTTCTGACAATGAAGCGCCGGCAGTCATGGGCCGCATGAACTTATTCACGCAACATCATACGGTGTTGTCGCTTGAGCGTTCTTTGTCTATTAGCGCTGTGGGGTATTTACACTCTTCAGGTTCTGTTTTGGCCGACAGCCGTGTCAAGGGCTGTACTGTTTGCGCGATGCACTCTAGGCTCTCAATCGACCATTGTTTCAGCATGTTTCAGCATGCTACACACACAATAGTCGCCATGGATACTGCTTGGCCTTGGGCGAGTGAAGCCTACGGGCTTTGTGCGCATAATCTCAGCGCATAAACTTACACGCGCAAGATCATACGTTGTTATTCCCCAAATTGGGATAGCTATGGGGTTCTTGCTGCAAATAAGAATGAGCTGGCTGCGCGCGCTTTCCAAAGCTATCTGGGTCTATGCTGGTGTAATTTGTTACCTTCTTTGGGGGTTTGCTTTCCCCACCCGAAGCGGGCACTAGTAGCGTCCTTGCTCCTAGTAGTACGGCCAGGAGCCCCTAATAGCGTCCTTGCTCCTAGTAGCGATGCCCTTTGCTCCTAGTACCTTCTTGCTCCTTGTAGTAAGGCCAGAAGCCCCTAGTAGTGTCCTTGCTCCTAGTAGCGATGCCCCTAGTCACCACTTCGGAGTTCCATTTTCGTCAAATTATCATTGCAACTTTCGGTGACCAGTAAGTGCAGCAAACTTGCTCGCAGTGCAGCAAGGCTTCGTAGCAGCAGCTGGACGCACTCTTCCTGTGTTGTAGCCAGGCCAAGTGCTTCACAATGCAAAATGAATCGGCATAACATGCAGAAGTCTCCGCCACGGATGAAGTTGAATTCATAACCTCAAGAGTGCAAAATTGAAGAGTGTAGAGTTTTCGGACAACGATCTATGCTGGCTTCAAACATCATATTACTGCCTGCAATACCTACGTAGAATAAGTCCTGCGCAGCATAGGACAAGGGCGATCTTCCCTTGCCGTCGCACCTGCAATGACATATCAATGTTCAGTAAAGCAAGGGGTAATTAAGCTGTTGATTCGTTCTGATCAGTTACCTCCGCACCAAACTTTGGCAGCTGGAGAGAAGCAAGTGACAAAGGCGCGGCTCCTAATTGCCGAGCACGGCTTGCATAATGGGCACTCTGAAGCAAGAACAACACACTTCCTGCAAAAGCAAAAACACATGCAATCATGCTGTTCCATTGCCTGGCTGCAAACTGCCAAGTGCAAGCAAGTGCGGCCACATGCATCCTGAGGCGCTTGTGGTATCTCTCTCGTCTCAGACTGCCACTCCATTCCTTTCCTTGTCCTTTACCCAAAGCCTGCACATCAGCTTGACATCCACGCTCCAATAGAATCGCTGCAGCCTCCAGAAATCAACAGGCATCAAGAATCGATTGAACTAGCAGCACATTCCCTCCCTCCCTCCCTCCCTCCCTCCCTCCCTCCCTCCCTTTGCAACTTCTCATATCACGCCTCAAGGCGCCCATGCTCACAAGCTAAGTGCAAAGGTGTCCGCCCGTTACGATCCAAAGCCTCAACACAGAAATGGACAACATGTATGGCATTACACCAAGGTGCTGCGCAACAAAGCATGCCTCCAACAACACCCCATGGTCATGGAGCAAACCGATCACCTGGATGTCAAGACAAAAAACATGAGAAAAACATTGAAACAACTCACATTGCCGGTTTGGTTAGGTCGTGAAGTCAAGCTTCAACTAAGATCAACTAAGTTTTAAACAGTAAACACGGGACAGGTAGCGAAAGCAAGGATGCTGGAATGTTTGTGTCAATCGAAGCGGTTCCTAGACAAAAAACAAGATGGAGCCCACGAACCCGAATGCAAACACATACTCGAAAACAAGCGCCCAAACAATTTTGGACACTCTTGTAGGAGAGACTCTTGTGGGACATTCTTGTAGGACACTCCTGTAGGACACTCTTGCGGGACTTGTAGGTCACTGTTGTAGGACGCTCTCGCGGGACACCCTTGTAGGAAACTCTTGTACGACACTCCTGTCGGACACTCATTGTGGGACACTCTTGCGGAACACTCTGGTAGGACACTTTTGTGGGACACTCTTGTGGGACAATGTTGTAGGACACTCTCGCCGGACACTCTTGTAGGAGATACACCCTTATGGGACACTCTTGTGGGACACCCTCGCAGGACACTCTTGTGGGACACTCTTGTGGGGCATCTTGCTGTCCACTCTTGTCGGACACACTCTTGTGGAAAAGTCTTCTGCGACGCTCTTGCCGGACACTTTTGTAGGACACTCTTGTCGGACACTGTCGTGGAACACTCTTGCGGGACACTCTTGTCCAACACTCTTGTGGGACACTCTTGTGAAAAAACCCTTGTCGGACACTCTTGTGGGACTTGTAGCAGACTCTTGTGGGACGCCTTTGTAGGACACTCTTGCCAGACACTCATGGAACACTCTTGCGGGAAACTCTTGTCCAACACTCTTTTGGAAAACTATTGTGGATAACTCTTGTGGGACACTCTTGTAGGACACTCTTGTCGGACACTCGACACTCTTGTGGGACTCTTGTAGGGGACTCTTGTAGGGGCCCTTGTAGGACACTCTTCTCGGACACTTTTGTGGAACACTCTTGCGGGACACTCTTGTCCGACGCTCTTGTGGATCACTCTTGTGAGTGGGACACTTTTGTCGGACACTCTTGTCGGACACCCTGGTGGGACACTCTTGTATTGGAGACTCTTGTGGGACGCCCTTGTAGGGCACTCTTGCTCTTGCTGGACACTCTTATGGAACACCCTTGTGGGACACTCTTGTGGGGCACTCTTGTAGGCCACTTTTGTCGGACACTCTTGTGGGCCACTCTTGTAGGGGACTCTTGCGGGACACCCTTGTTGGACACTCTTGTAAGACACTCTTGTCGGACACTCTTGTGGGACTCTCTTGTCGGGCACTCTTGTGGGCCACTCTTGTTGGACACTCTTATGGAACACCCTCGTGGGACACTCTTGTGGGACTCTTGTGGGACACTCTTGTAGGAGACTCTTGTAGGACTGTAGAGGAGACTGTTGTCACTCTTGTGGGACGCGCGTGGGGCGCTACTACTGAAGTCTCCCTCATGTCTCCAAAAGTGGCGCGTTGTAAGAGACTTTCTCAAAAAGCGCTTCGCATCCCAAGAGTCGCATGTCAAAGTCTCCAAAACAAGCATTTCGTATGAGATTTCCTCCAATAGTGAAGCGGGAAGCCCTACTTCCAACACAGTGCACTGCGCCTGCCACAAAATGTGACCTCCGCCACAAATCGCAGCCTCACAATTCCCTGCGCCAGCCACGAAAATCACACTTCCACACCTCAAAGCCAGCACAAAGTACTGCGCCTGCCACGAAAAGTGACAATGTCGTATCATGATGTATCATGTGAGCTTCAACAAAATTTGCACCGCACCGCACGTTTGGAATGATTTCGACACGTTCGGAGCACACTCCCATCCACCAATATCACCATTTCAGCTGAGACTTGTCACGAAAGGACAGCTTTGAAGCACCCTGAAGCACAAATCCCAACATCACAGCCACATCCAGTACTCCAAATGCACTACCCTCCAAACGCCAATCCCGATGTGACTACGCAGAAAACTGCGGATTTGACAAAACGCTGCGCCTGCGGAGTGAAATCATCCTCCACACTTCAACATCTCACGCTTCCACACGTGACGTTTCCTCGCTATTTCACACGAATCTGACACGTCACGCTTCCATCCAAAACCCTCTCCAAAAGCTTCCCCGCAATGTGAGCACCATAGCGCCCTACTGCGAACAGTTGCGGACGGTTGCAGTCGCTCAGACAACTAGTCGCGAACAAGGCTCTACCCCCAGACCCGCAGAGTTAAACGAGAACCCTTCGCCACGCATTCGGGAAAACCCCAGTGATGGTTACTGCCTTGTATGGCATCCATGATCAATTACAACGCAAATATTTCTCCGCGACATTCCGCGACATTTCTCTGCATCCTTGAGACCTCCGATCATATGAACTCACCTTCACGAAAGCATCTTTGGAGGTGCACACAAACTTGCTCGCCTTGCTCGCCATCATGACACCAATCCACTCCAAAGGTCTGCTCATCTAGCTGTGACCACTGGACTTGAAGACTCGCATTCGGTTGAAGGTCCATTGTCAAATGGCAAGCTGCGACTTGTTCAGCAGAAAATGTGCCACGGAAGAAGGCTGTGCGCAAGGTTGGGAAAGCGACGGCACTTTGCAGTGCTCTCACTACAGAAACAAGGGATACCTCAGCTGCAGTTCGAAAATACCTTGTCATTTCCAAGGTCTTCAACCGATGTCCGCCGCTGCATACTGCTTTGAAAGCACCTGAAAAATCCGCAACACAGCCTAGACTGAGACTTTCCAGGCTGGAGAAGCATTCAAGTGCTTGCTGCAAACCTGCCGAGGAAAGCTGATTTCCAGGACGATACAAGATTAGTTCTTTCAATGCAGGGCATGCTTTCCCGAGGATGCACAATGCTTTGTCTCCCAATCCTACAACACCTGACAGCGACAAGCTTCTCACTCGGTGCTTCCCAAGTGCTGTCATCACATGTACGCCTCCTTCAGTCAATTGCAACGGAGGTCCAGCCCTTTCCGAAACTTCCAAGGCTTGCAGTCCAAAAGACCCACCTGTGTCGGTTGCTGTGTGGGTTCCAATTGGGCGATCTGCTTTTGGTTTGGCTCCTTTTGCTTCAAGTATCTGCATTAGCATCTCCTCGGTGATCTGTGAAACACTCCCCGCTCGAGTGCAAACCAGAATCAATTCTTGCAGTCTCAGATTCGCCAATGCCACCATCCCGTTGCTTGTAAGCGCGTCGTTCCCCTCAAGAGAAACAGATTGCAAACCTGGTGCAGCTTCGATAGCAGCCCTCAGGTTTTCATCTTGCAGCGATCGAAGAAGGCACAAGCGCAGCTCTCTTAGGCGGGAAGGCAAATGCTGCAGAAATTCACCCGTCACCTCCCCAACAAGATCGTAGTCGGTGAGTTCGAAGCGGTACAAAGAAGGACACGATTTGAGAATAAAAAGCAACTCGGACTCGCCGACACTTTCGCTCAAGCGAACTACAAGCTTGCGCACTAGAGCCCCGGCAAGCTTCAATGCCTTGCCACGTGGAAGCCAGTCCCCTTCAAGATGGGCAAGTACTGAAGCCTGCAACTTGGGAAACCGAGACTGCAAGAGCGGCAAAAATGAGAGAGGCAACGGCGCATCATCTTCGATGGCAGGAAGGTGAGCAGCCGAGAATCCTACAAAAAGCAACTTCTTGTCACAGGCAGTCACACCAAAGGTGTCTCTAAGCGGTAGTGCACAAAGAGCCTCAATTAAACTCGATTCGGGCAAGTCCGCCAAAGTAAGGGAGTCTTTCTGCATGGAAATAGCTGAGCTTTCCTGTAAGGAGTACGTACGAGTACTCTCATGGCTGCGCTTTATTGGGCTTGATGAATGTGCTGAAACCAGCTACAAGTACCTCTAGAACCCTTCCGCAGATCTCACCCGTTTCGCCACTGACTGCTCGGGAAATCCTGGTAATTTCATGGTGCAGTCATCAAATAGATAGAATACAAGATATATATTCCCCAAATCTGAGAACAAGGATGGTTAATCACCCAAAATTCTATGTGATGGAGAATATCGACCAAATCCTTTTAGATCAATGCATGAGCCAAGCCGATCGTGTCAAGCCCTTCCCCAAATAGCTTGTTCATCCAACATATTGTATCAAGATGTATCAAGTGAAGATTTGCAGGTGGTCAGCGACTGGATGACTGGGCATGCTCTCTGTCTATGCTCCTTGATTCGGGCATTTTTGTAATGCGAGCGAGCTGGGCTTAGGATGTTCGGTGTCATCTGTGTCTTTTGGATTCCAGAACGGCTCTCTTTTTGTTTAAGTTAACAGTGTGAAGTGATAAGTGATAGAGATGGACATTGAACAAACACCGTGTTCTGTTTCGGAGAGGAAGCCAAAAGGGATAAGGGACATCAACGTGTTTAATCTGAGTGCAACAGTGCACTGCTGAACTGTGCAACTATCGAAACAGCCGGAGCCATATTTTCAATACGAGGTTGTATCAAAAGCAATGCTAGAATGTTCTACACACACATGCAAAGTATATGAACCAAACTGAAAGCCTTCACTACTCGCTACACTCACACTCACAAGAAGGTAGATGGCTTGTTTGCCCCGATCTCCGTTCCAAATGTCATCATCCATAGCTTCAAACTTGCAAATCTGGCATCCTGATCAATTCATACAACTTCCTGTGTTAATGAACATGGATCAAATAACGAAACAAATCCCAAATAGTCCACTGTACGTAGCTATACTCTCGGAACGACGAGGCTAAGCCCTGAAACGGCACGATGAACAATGGCATGTATGGACAATTCCTTCCAGGTAAACACAAAGGCTTTTGGGGCTGTTGGGACCAACAGGTTCTAACAGGAATAACATGGAATAACAACAAAGCTTCCACACCAAATCCTCTCCTTGAAACAACTTAAATGTTTTTAAAAATGTCCACATGTGTTTGTCTCAAACAGCTTGAGGTTCGGGGAGTTGGGACCGCTGCTCACTCACAGAAAGGCCCGCACCTCCTGTTGGCCGCCTTTTGCCGCTAAGTGAACAGCACCTTCCACGTAGAATGCGAAATGGATACCACCTTTCTTCCGTTTTCGTCTTCTTCTTTTCCTTTAACTCAAGCCTCTGCCTAGATTATCCTCGAACGAAATGAGGAGTCTGCGGTTTCGGCCTCAAATCTGCAAGGCTAAAACCACTTCTCTTCAAACAGTGGCTTGAGCACCGAAACTCAACTTGTTGCGTACCAGTATAGCACTACCCGTGTACGGTGTACTCCCACGTTATGAGAGTATGCAAAAGGAATTTGGCTCACTGCCCTGGAGCTCTTTGCGAACAACCTTGGCACGGTCAGGCAGCCAAGCATGCGAAGCATGTGCTCTTTTGTGTGAGCAAATTGTAAGCCATGGGCATCTTGAAGGCCCAGCTCAGCAGCTGTCAAGAAAGCCTGCATTCTTCCATCCACAAACTTTATCAAATCTGTTTAATTTGATAAGCTTAACAAAGCTGTAAAGCCAAGAGAAACATGGTAGCCAGGGCCTTCCTCTGATCAACCGAAACCTTATAGGCTTGGCAAGCATCTTGTTAGTGAGATGAGGATACGGCACAGATCACAAATCCTCTCTTTGACCAATTCATAGTGCCCAACATCTCCATCTGCCATGGCTTCAAACAATAGCTACACCAGGAACGCATAGTGAGTGATGCATGGTGATAGTTCTGCATAGGGATGCATGATCATCATGGTCACAAACATGGAGAATACGCATTCATGGAGGCCTCCAGCAACTGCAAGGTTGACTTCAACATACTTGCTTCTTGTTCCTAGTAGTAAGGCCAGGAGCTACTAGTAGCGTCCTTGCTCCTAGTAGCGATGCCCTTTGCTCCTAGTAGCGTCCTTGTTCCTAGTAGCAGCAAGGCAGCATGCAACACTTTCGGACACTGGATGAATGGCGTCTTGGACTTGTGTGAGGTGCCGCCTGTACGGATAGCCTTGCCATGCAGTTCTTGCAAAGTGCCGATTGAATTCAGCGTGCTGTGAAAGTTGAAAGGGCCAGCGGCGATTTTGAGATGATTTCAGACCTACAGAAAGGTCCCACAGGTAGCAATTGCATTCTTTTGGTCCTGAACTACGCAAGCTCAAGACTCTCAAGACTTCTGCCTCACTCGAACTGCAACCTGGAAGAGCTCAATGAGAATGTGGAGAAACTGATTACATTTACAAAATTCTGGAGATGGTCACCAAACACACTTGGAGCCTGGTCAATCGACTGCAAGAAAGCCACTGCGGACTCTTGTGAGTCTTTTTGGAGACTGGCCCACCTGACTGAGTAATATGTCTGGTGTGGCTTACAATGAAATAGAAAGGGCCCCCTTAGGCCCCTTCAAAGCGGAGCCTTAGCTTCCTTTGTTCAATATTCAATCATTGGAACCTGGCCATCTGAAAATACGAGATGTCACGTCTGCCATTCCAGTCATCTTGCAACGGACGGTGCCATCCTGCAAACTTCATTCCAGCCAAGGAGAAAACATGGCAAACTATTCTCACAGCTGCGCTGCCTCACTGGGAAACATTTCAACCTCAAAACACCATCCAAGTGAAGCTCATTGTGGATCAAAGTAATTATATACGGACACCATGTCATTCCATGTCGATTCATTTCTTTCATCAGCCCCCCCAAATACAACTATAGGCGGTTTGATAGGTTGCCTGGTGCTTTTGTAGAGATTGTATCTTGCTTCATCGATTACCTGGATTACCTGTGTTTTCTGCGTTGTTCTCTTATGCTGATGCTTCATCAATTAACTTGCTTCGGGAACAACAAAGGGCGGTGGGAGGAGTATTGATGTTCCTTGTGATTGCACCAAGGATGCTGATGCTTTGGAGTCAAGTCGGATGGATAGAGTGTGCAACAAGGCAAGGTCACAGATTGACAAGCTGCCCAAAACAAATAGAACGTTTTCTGGGAGAAAACAAAACGCACATGTTGGAAACAAAACTTTGTTGCGCTCTGGCGATACGCATGCTCAGCCCCTTGGAAACTACCAGTCAATCTATCAAACCGTGACCGTGTAGTTACAGTATAGCGACCACACAAAATAGCAATAATAGTTATTTTATGTAATATGCAAAACAAAATAAATATAAACAGTGTAAGTGTAATTGTATAATCTATTCACATACTTACTTGATCCACATTACAGGCTATGCGTTTCCTGCATGAAGGAAACCCTGCACTTGGACATTTGTTTACCGTAGAACTTTTTAGAACCAAGGGCCCGGCTTCTGAGATCTCTGTATTCTCGAGAAAAGGGTAGCCCAGCCCTCCCTGCGATGCTTAGAGCATCACAAAAGCCGCGCCAATACGCCAAAGCACCAAAATCAAAGGAACACCACGCGTTTTGACAAAAAGTATCAAAAAGTGACATTTCGCTCAAGCGAAAAGCTGGCACGGCAGCTTGGTTGCCTCCACTGTTCGCATGATTAGAACGAAGGGGCCATCTGAAGGCTCCTGTGGCGGAAAGGTGTGGAACTGGTTGACGGATGATACGTGTACTGCACACAAGGGTTCGACATCCTCTATCTGAGAGCACTCTCGGACGCAAAAGACTCTGCCAGCCTCTCATTCAGTTACCAAAGTCCGGATCCAAAGCAAATGAAACAGCAAACGACCTGCCTGTGGGCCACTGTCAGCCTTGTGTCTAAGAATCATGCCATGACCTGTACATCTTCACCATCTTTGTTTGATTTGCATTAGGATCCTGTGATGCTAATGGGACAAACATGTCCAACTCTCCACTTCAGGACAACATCTGATCGGGCCTTTCTTCAAAGGTCCAAGCCTCACTGCCACCAAAGTAATGCTGTCTGCGAAATTCTAAGAGCCCCAATTCTTGGTTTGTTATATAAGTTATATATGCAAATTTCCCAATCACAACAGCGTTCGTGTTCAAGACCACAGGGAGACCTTCAGAACTCAGGTTCCTTCTGCACTTTCCAGGCTTGGCAGAATGACAGCCTTTCGCAAGCACCTCTTTTGTGCCCGCTCCCTACCCTCCCTACTTAATTCAGTAGGTGCCTACTTAAATGAGTAAGGCGACTAGATCGCTAGTTACTAGCTACTAGTTCGCTACTAGCTACTTGTTAGCTACTAGCTACTGGACGCAGGATAGCTCACGCTCGCACTATTAATTTGGGAGCGACGTGGCAAAGCGTGTCCGCAAGCGATTGTGCGCTGGTACGCTGGTATGCTGGCGGTGGCTGGCTACGCTGGTTGCGCTGGCTACGCTGTTTACGCTGGTTACGCTGGATACGCTGTTTACGCTGGTTACACTGGTTAAACAGTACGCTGCAGGTTCCGCTGGTTCCGCTGTCTACGCTGGTTACGCTGTTTACGCTGGTTCCGCTGGTTACGCTGTTTCCGCTGGTTATGCTGTTTATGCTGTTTACGCTGGTTACGCTAGTTACGCTGTTTCCGCTGGCTACGCTGTTTACGCTGGTTATGCTGTTTACGCTGGTTA